CATGGTCTTTCCTGCCCGGGCTGGCTTTGAACCGCGATCCTCAGATCTCAGCCTCCTGAGTAGCTAGGATTACAGGCGTGAGCCACCAGCGCCCAGCTTTTGCTCCTTTTTTTTTTTTGTTGTTGGTTGTGAGGCTTGAACTCTGGGCTTGGGCACTGTCCCTGTGCTCTTCAGCTCAAGGCTAGTGTTCTACTGCGTGAGCCATAGCTAGTGGAGATAATTCTCACGGACTTTCCTGCCTGGGCTGGCTTTGAACCGTGATCCTCAGATTTCAGCCACCTGAGTAGCTAGGATTACAGGCATGAGCCACCGGCACCCGGCTTTTTGCTCTATTTTTGAGATCGGGTTTTACTTTCTGATGGAACTAGCCTAGACTTTGATCTTCCTATTTATTTATACGTTCTGCCATAGCTGGGCTGACATGTAACAGTGTGCCCAGATTTGCCTGTTTAGATGGAATTTCAAACTTTTTCTTTTTTTTTTTGCCCTGGCTGGCCTAGAACCAGTTTTTGTTTGTTTGTTTTTTTGTTTGTTTCTTTTTTGTTTTTTGCATGTGTTGCGAGGTAGAACCCAGGGCCTTTTGCCTGCCAGGCAAGGGTTCTACCTGAACTACTATATCCTCGCTTTTCGTTTCTTTTGCTTCTGCTCTTCTCATTCTATACAGTACTAGAGTATTTCAAAGCCTCAGCTGGCTTTTGTCATTTCTCTGTCTCCCATCCACTCAACCTGGAGTCTCTAGCCTGTGGTTTTGACACTGATTGGATCCCTAGTTTCGTACCTTTGGCTCCAGGACCTTCCTCTCCTACCTCCTACAATCCTGGTGCTTCTGAGCACCCCTTCTCAGAATTTTTCACAGTTGTCCTCATTCTTTATTTTCCTACATTATTTTGGCACTTGCTTTTACTTATTTTGTTTTATTTGAAACAACAACAGCGACAACTTATATTTAGTTAGGTTTCCATTCAGCCTGTCAGTTTATGTGTGCAGTGTATCTTGATGACTAGTAGCCTTGTTTTTCTGGCCCTTCTAGGTGCGATGGTCCAGCTGCAACATCTTCTCTACTCAAGATCATGCAGCGGCTGCCATTGCCAAGGCTGGCATTCCAGGTGAGTCCTTGCTGCTGGGATGTGTTTGTTTCCCTGACTTGTGTAGAAGTAGACTTCCACATGGCAGGGAGGCAGTTGTAACCTGATAATTCATGGGAAAGAGCTGTTTTGTCCCACCATCAAATAAAATCCATGGAAGATGCTATTGAGCCCATTTTAATCATGTGAGGGCAGGATCTTAAGATAGGGAGTCACACGATGTAGGGGAGAAGTTCCTTACAGGAAGGGTATGGGTATGTTTCCAAAGAACTGGAGAAATATGGAAGAAGAAAAGCACCTGAGGTGGGGCTGGGAAGGCGGCTCAGTGGTAGAGTGCTTGCCTTGCATGCATGAGGTCCTGAGTGCGATTCCTCAGCACCACATACGCAAAAAGAAAAAACCCAAAAGTGGCACTGTGGCTCAAGTGGTAGAGCGCTAGCCTTGAGCTGAAGAGCTGAGGGACAGTGCCCAGGCCCAGAAGGCCCAGAGTTCAGGTCCCAAGACCGACTAAAAAAAAAAAAGAAAAGCGCCTGAGGTATGGGGTCAGGGTGGGGTAATAGTCAGTGGAGTATTATGTGTGGAAGGAGTTTCTCACGGCCTGCTGGAAAAGGGCCATGTCTGTCACCTCAGGAGGGGAGTTTTTAGATTTGATGGTGATAATATAGTTTTTGGTAATACTAAGGTTTGGTCTCAGGGCCTTATGCTTGATAGATAGGTGCTCTCACACTTGAACCATGCCTCAAGCCCTTGATTAAGTAGAACATTGAAGACGGTAATCAGCCACAGCTGGAAGGGGAAGTGGAAAGAGCTCCTCCAAAGACTGACTAGGGAAGAAGAGGCATGGCCTTCGCTTCTTAGCCTTGGTTGGGCTGTGTGGCCCTCTTTTGGATGTTTTCAGAACCACTGTCTTCTCGGACTGGGGACAGGCGTAGCTGTGGCCTGTGTTCTTTGTTCACAGGAAGCTCCTGGGCACCCAGCGTCTTTGTCCCAGTCATCTCACATGAACGGGCAGTTCTGGCTGACAGTATCCGTGGCTTTAGTAACTAGTCTAGAATGTGCAGGCATATCGTAGCCCTTCTCTGGGTGTAGGTGGTGGTGATGGTCATGTGTGCCTCACAGGGTTTCTCTGAGGAAAATGGGATGGGGCTGAAAGGAGTTAGCACGTCTGGTATATCTCGAGAAGTGCTCCATGCATGTAGCTGCTGTTCAGCATTATTGCTGTAGAAGCTGGGAGGTCCTCAAGACCTTTCAAGTGAAGAGCAAACTGTGATCCTGCATTGTGGGTCTCACTGGGTGGGAACCCAGGTCTGTGTGGGTTGATGTTCCCATCCTTGGGGCCCAGGCAGAAAGGGGGATATAAAAGGAAATCATTTTTTCCAGATATATCTAGGGCTATACTTTCCTCTTGTCTTATTTAATTCATGCTAGTGTGAATTCAGAGGAGGAAACTGAGGCTCAGAGAGGTGAAATGATGTGCTCAAGATCACATGGCTGGAGCTGGGTTTTGGAGGCGGGAGGGCTCACACCTGTAATCCTTCTTGGGAGGCTGAGATCTGAGAATTGAGGTTTGGAAAATCCATGAGATTCTTACTCTCCATGAAGAACAAAACAAACCTGAGATGGAGCTGTGTTTCAAGTGGTAGAGTACTAGCCTTGAGCAAGAAAACCCATAGAGGCAGCATTTAGGTCCTGAGTTCAAGCAGCCACATAGCTGGTATGTGCCAGAGCCAGGATTTGATTTCATATCTGTCTGGATCCAGGTAGTGTTCTTTTCATTGCCATGTTTTCAGAGGGGCTGGGAGTTAGTAAGAAGAGCTTGTTCCCTGTAGTGGGTGCAGGTGGGGAAAGCCAGTCCCTGATTTGATGTCCCATTCTTTCCACAGTGTATGCCTGGAAGGGCGAAACAGATGAGGAGTACCTCTGGTGCATTGAGCAGACTCTGTACTTCAAGGATGGTCCCCTCAACATGATTCTGGACGATGGTGGTGACCTTACCAACCTCATCCACACCAAGTACCCACAGCTTCTGTCAGGTAAGTAGGGCAGAGCAGGTAGGCTGATTGCTGATGGGCCAGATGGGGCTTGCTCCTTTACCTGAGGAAGCAGGCCTAGCAGAACGCCAGGATTCTGTGGAAGCAGGGGTCGAGAGGGATAGCAGACTCGCGCAGGTGTATTAGGGCCTGGCCTCTCAACTTTGGATGATGTGGGGCTAGAGGTTGGCTAGGTGTCTGGGTGAGTTGGTAGCCCAAGGGCCCACATAGGACTAGGATCAGCTACGAAGGAGCCAACTTTGTAGAAGCAGAGAGGGGAGGAGAGTAGTCAGGGAGAGGGGTACAAAGAGTGAGAAGGTCCTACGGCTGGAAAGGTTTGACTATTGAGGAAACCACAAAGAAGCCAGCATGATGATAATAAATGACAAGAGCTTTTCCTTGGGAATATTATAGGATACGGTTGAAACTTCAGTGAAGGCCAGGTATATCCTGAATGTCCGATGGGGAAAGAGTTTGGCTTTGTCCTGAGAGTAATTATGGAGAGTTTCAAATAGGCGTTTTTGCAAATATACATCTTAAAAATGGCTGCTGGCTGCTGCTTATGGTAGTGAAGGCAGGTGAAAGTGATGGTGGCAGGGACTAAGATCATAGCAGTGGGAATGGAGAAGCAGGGCTGGGAAGGTGGCTCAGTGGTAGAGTGCTTGCCTTGCATGCCTGAGGCCCTGGGTTCGATTCCTCAGCACCACATAAGCAGAAAGCTGGAAGTGGCGCTGTGGCTCAAGTGGTAGAGCGCTAAGCCTTGAGCTGAAGAGCTGAGGGGCAGCCCCCAGGCCCAGAGTTCAGGCCCCACCAAAAAAAGAAAAAGAATGGAGAAGCAAGATGAGATGTCTGGGGAGTTCAAGGGTGGTCCTGGCACGCTTGCCCTCTTTCAGGCATCCGAGGCATCTCTGAGGAGACCACCACTGGGGTCCATAACCTCTACAAAATGATGGCCAGCGGGGTTCTGAAGGTGCCTGCCATCAATGTCAATGACTCTGTTACCAAGGTGAGTCCTTGGGCCAGTCACATCTCTACCTGTTGGCCCTGGTACATTTGAGGAATAAGCTTCTGAAGGGTGTTCAGGAAGGCTGCAGGCCAGGGCCATGTAGCTCTTGTCTGAAGGGAGAAAGGGTCTCCAGCCAGCCTCAGGGCTGGGGTTCAAAATCTGTATAGGTTAGGTACCAGTGGCTCACACCTTTAATATCCTAACAACTCAGGAGATCTGAGGATCACAGTTTGAAGCCAGCTAGGGCAAAAAAGTATGTGAGACTCTCAACTCCAATTAGCCAGCAGAAAGCCAGAAGTGGAGGTATATGGCTCAAGTGGTAGAGTGCCATACTTGAGTGAAAAAGCCAAATGAAAGTGGGAATCCCGTCCTCCCCTAATGAGCATTATGGCTTAGAAGTTAAGCAGATTCTTCCCCCTAGTAATCTCTCCTCGTAATAGATCGCAGCAGAGAAAGGGTAGTGAGAACGTGTTGGAACTTATAAAGATGAGCAGCACTTGGGAGGCAAGTTCAGAAGGCAATCAGGCCTGGCCCCAGGGCTGCTGCTTGTCCCATTGTCCTTTTGCCCTATCTCCTTTCAGAGCAAGTTTGACAACCTCTATGGCTGCCGGGAATCCCTCATAGATGGCATCAAACGGGCCACAGATGTGATGATTGCGGGCAAAGTGGCTGTGGTAGCAGGCTATGGTGATGTGGGCAAGGGCTGTGCCCAGGCCCTGAGGGGTTTTGGGGCTCGTGTCATCATCACTGAGATTGACCCCATCAACGCACTTCAGGCTGCCATGGAGGGTATGATGGGGCGAGGATTATTTGTCAGCCAGCAGGGCCAGAGGGAGAGTAAGGCCACCCAGATAACCCCTGGTCACCATCTACGCAGGCTATGAGGTGACCACCATGGATGAGGCCTGTAAGGAGGGCAACATATTTGTCACTACCACAGGCTGTGTGGATATCATCCTGGGCCGGTAGGTGCCACCCTGAGGTCCTGAGGGCCAGGGGGAGTGTGGGTTTGGGGCTGTGCTTTGTCTTTGATGGTGATTTCCACAGGCACTTTGAGCAGATGAAGGATGATGCCATTGTGTGTAACATTGGACACTTTGATGTGGAAATTGATGTGAAGTGGCTCAATGAGAATGCTGTGGAGAAAGTGAACATCAAGCCCCAGGTGAGAAACCAGCAGCAAGGGCGATTCGGGACCCAGAAGGGCCTGCTTGTGAGCTACCCACCAAGGAAGCTGTTGCTTCCCAACAGTGGGGTGTAGGGAAGTCAGCCTGGGTTCAGAGCTAGCCTTGGGGTGTCAGACTGGGGCCTGAGTGGGTCCTCTCACAGCCCTGCAGGGTAAGTACAGGACAGGGAAGAATTGGGAAGGATGCTGGTTCTGAGTGGAGCAGCTGTGTGAAAAGTAGAAGCCAGTTACTGAGCTGCAGAAAGGACAGGTTTGCAACAGGGCATTGAGAAATAGGTTTCTTGGGGGTTCATAAGACTTTATGTGGGTTACATTTTCTTCTCTGATTATGAAGTAATAAGCTTCTGGAAGACATTGTGGCTTTGCCTACAAGAGCTTCCATGTTAAACAAGCTCTTATCTTGTAGAGCTGGGGATGGGATTGAGGGCCTTGCACATGCTGAGCTATACCCTGGCTCCATATTCAACTTTCTGATGACAATTCAGAGGATCAATGCTCAGATTATGGCTGCTTTTTGGTGTTTGGCTCTGGACAGATGACTCCAGTGGAATGCAGATGATGGTACTTAAATTATATAATATTTAGGATTGCATGTGATCATTTTATGTAAACAACATAGTACATAGCAATAATAATAAAGATGTCAGCTCTACCTATCGAGGATCTATATGTGCCAAATGCTTTCTGTCAGTTCATTAAGTGCCCACAGCAGACTTATGAATTGATTGGCTATCATTAATTGTGTATGCCAGCACTGTGGAGGTTATACTGGGCTTATTCCAGGCCCTCTGGGCAAGGTGGGAAGCCAGGGCAGACTGAGGAAGTGCCCTGCCAGGCCTCACCACTACTCTGGTAACTTGGGCAGGTGGATCGCTACAAGCTGAAGAATGGGCACCGCATCATCCTGCTGGCTGAGGGCCGACTGGTCAACCTGGGCTGTGCCATGGGCCATCCCAGTTTTGTGATGAGCAACTCTTTCACCAACCAAGTGCTGGCACAGATTGAACTCTGGACCCACCCAGACAAATACCCTGTTGGGGTTCACTTCCTGCCTAAGAAGGTGGGTTCTTGCTGCTCTGGAGTCCCTAGCTCTGATGCCTGACACATTTGGGGGCTTTGGAGCCAAAACTGGTGTCCACATCTGACATTTCCTAACTCTGTGACCTTGTGTAACTCATTTTACTTTTCTCAACTTGGATTTCTTTCTTTGTAAAAAGAGGATGATAGTTTTTATTAGGGTTCTTTTGCTAGCCAGTGATAGAAGTCTGTTCAAATCAGACCATGGTTCAGGTGCAGTGGTGCATTCCTGTAATCATAGTTACTTAAGGAGAGGTGGGGGCTGGAAATCACAAGTTAGAAGCAATCCTGGGCTAGATTAGATTCTGTCTCCAAAGAAAAAAGTCAGAGATTTGGCTAGTGATAAAGTAGAGGGCCTGGACTCAACTCTTAACAATTGCAAATTGGCTGTATAATGGGGAAATCTTAAATGCAGACACTGGATCCATGGTTTGGTGTCATCGTAACTCTGGGGTATTGAACCCAAGGTCTTGTATGTGGTAAGGTATTGAACCCAAGGTCTTGTATGTGGTAAGTACATGTTTTACCACTGAACTTCAGTCTGAATTCCATAGTTCTGCTTCTGCTTATTTCTTGGTTCTTTTTCCCACTACATCCATTTTACTTGGCAAGCAGACAGTACAGGTAAGTTGAGGCAGGAGATGTCCTTGATGGTTTCACCAGGGCCACTCGGAGAGAAAGATGTCATCTAGTTCCTTCTTGGTAGAGAGCTGGATAGCCAAAACAAGCCTACCGAAGCTGGCTATGATAGGATGAGGTATAATGTAGGCAACCTATGACAGACAGCCAAAAGAGCAGTTTATGTCTTTTGGTGGCTGGATACAGTAAAGGTTGCCAGAGCATGGCACTAATTTCAGGTTTGTCTTTGTTTCTTCCCAGCTGGATGAGGCAGTGGCTGAAGCCCATCTGGGTAAGCTGAATGTGAAACTGACCAAGCTGACTGAAAAGCAGGCCCAGTACCTGGGCATGTCCCGCGATGGCCCTTTCAAGCCTGATCATTACCGCTACTGAGAGCCAGGGCTGCCCCTCCACCTTCCAGCTGCCCTCCTTGTCCAGACTCCACCTCTCCTTCCCAAGCAAATGGCACCAGTTTTGTAATTGCTTTGTTGATATTGCCCATTGACTCTCTAGGGCTGGTCACTCAGTCCTGTTGCATCCTCATACTATTGCAAGTGTGGCAGGGGGAATGGAGAGGCCGTGGTCAAGATGGAGGTACAAGGGAGACATCCACAGGAACCATGAGCTCATGGGCTTGGAACTGCTCACCCAGTCAGTCCTTCCTTAGGCTGGAGGTTGGTAGTGGTGATTACAAAGCCCATGCACTTTACCATCCAGGCCTCATCTGGCCTGTGGATTTAGACCCATGTTTTTCATTGCCAGGCTTATTCGTTTTTCAGCTCTTGACAGATGAGTAGGAGCTGTATATGTTAAAGGGCAACAAACTGTTGGAATTCGAATATTCCTGAGGATTATGGGTTTGATACTATTAGTTTCTATTTCACAGGAGTTAGAATAGACTTTGAAGGTATAGACAATAAGGACAAGAGGAGTGATGGAAGTTGCAAGGGGCCAGAAACACAAAAGGATTAGATGCCACCACTTTGTAATGTGATGGCTTGTTGTTTGGGTCAAAGGAACTTTGGGGGCTGGGAAGGTGGTAGAGTGCTTCCCTTGCATGCATGAGGCCCTGCGTTCAATTCCTCAGCACCACATAAGCAGAAAAACCCAGAAGTGGAGCTATGGCTCAAGTGGTAGAGCACTAGCCTTGAGCTGAAGAGCTGGGGGACAGCGCCCAGGCCCAGAGTTCAGCCCCGACGACTGACCAAAAAAAAATCAAAAAACAAAAACCACCCCAAAACAAAAAACTTTGGTTACAATGTTTGTATAATATTTGGAATGTGAAAAGAAAGCAGGAAGTGGATAAATAAAAAATTTTGGTGCCTAAAATAATTTTTGAAACTTTTATTCTATGTTCCACTCTCAGCTGTGTGACATGACATGGTTATAGTCATAAAACATTGAAGGTATTGGGGCTGGGAAGGTGGCTTAGTGGTAGAGTGCTGCTTGCCTTGCATGCATGAGGCCCTGGGTTCAATTCCTCAGCACCACATAAGCAGAAAAAGCCAGAAGTGGCACTGTGGCTCAAGTGGTGGAGTGCTAGCCTTGAAGTGAAGAGCTGAGGGACAGCACCCAGGCCCAGAGTTGAGGACCCATGACCAGCAAAAAAAAAAAAACAAAGTTTTGTCTGGAGTGTAAAGCGATACAGGATATAGGTAACCCCTTAGATTTGGAGGAATTTCTTTCTTTCCTTCCTTCCTTCCCCTTTTTCTTTCTTTCTTTTTTTGCCAGTCCTGGGGCTTTAACTCAGGGCCTGGGTACTGTCTCTGAGCCTCTCTTTGCTCAAGGCTGGTGCTCTCCCACTTGAGTAACTGTGCCACTTCTGTTTTTTTCTGTTTATGTGGCACTGAGGAATTGAACCCAGGGCTTCTACCACTAAGCCACATTCCTAGCCCTCGGGAGGGATGTTTTAAAGAAGGAACTCTTTAGAGAACTTTCTTTTCAGGTGTCTTACAAATAACTCAGACTTATTCAGTGAGTGATTTTACCTATTTATAACATTGTAATTCCCATTTGTATTTATTTTCTCTACCTTATTTGTGTTCTTGATTATATTTTTTTCCTCTCCATTTCTACTTTTCTTTAGATCCATCCAGTATACCTCGAGATTTGTTTACTGAGCAGAACTGGGTGCTAGGGATTCTGTACATGATACTCTTCCAACAATCCTAGTAGTATCTAGTTACATAGAAGAGAATGAAGACTTAATAGAAGTAACTTCTAAAATCACATAAAAAGAAGGGGAGGAAGCTGCTGTTCATTGAGCCATAGGGTATATTGCACAGCAGATGTGCTGCTCTCTCTAAAGGGCCCCTGTCTCTTTCCAGGCACAGGAAGTACCTTTCCAGATGTTTCCTCTGAGGTCCTATGTAGTCATCCACCTTCGGTCCTTAAGAGGGTTCTGGTTTCTGTTATCCTTTTCCCTTTCCTTTTTTAAAATGTCCTTCAGTTCGCCAAGACTTTATTATTTTTTTGAAATCACATCTGGTCTCAGATGTACCTCTAATCCCAGATGTGCGAATTGGTCAAATGTATGACAATGATCAGGTACATGCAATGAAAGATGATGAGTCTACCAATTCATACCCTGTTCCTGATGTCTGGGCTCCCCATTCAAGATTCACAGGGGAAGAAAAAATTGGTTGAGCATCTGCATTATCTAGCGTAGCCCTTGCTAGGTTCTTTTCTAGAAAAGAGAAGGGAAGGAAGATAAGGCCTGTGGAGCTGTCATCTTAAGATTTAGGAGGAGGAAACTTGGATCTTGGTACTCGGGAGAGGGATCATAAATATGTCTCAAATGGTTGTCTTGATGTCAAGATGGTAAAATATTTATAAAGTGTTTTATGTTTTAAAAGCTGTGTCAGGCACCAGGAGGACAAAAGCTATTTCAAAGAGTATGGGGTTTAAAATACTTAGAAAATTAGTGTAGAGGGCTGGGAAGGTGGCTCAGTGGTAGAGCGCTTGCCTTGCATGCTTGAGGCCCTGGGTTCGATTCCTCAGCACCACATAAGCCAAAAAAGAAAAAAGCCAGAAGTGGTGCTGTGACTCAAGTGGTAGAGCGCTAGCCTTGAGCTGAAGAGCTGAGGGACAGCGCCCAGGCCCAGAGCTCAGGCCCCACAACTGGACCCCCCCCCAAAAAAAAAGTTAGTTTAGAGAAATCATTGGCTCTTAGAACCAGAAAGGACTTTAGAATCATACAGCTATAGTACAGAAGCCAGTGTTTGGATAGGGAGAGGAGAAAGGAGCCCAGAAAACATCCATTTACCTTGAAGGTCTAGTGACCTGTCTGCTTCTATGCCAGAAATCCCTGCACACCAAGTTTAATGTCTTCCTGTGTGTGGAAGGCAGGGGTAGGGGCCCTGCTAGGCTAGAGGCACTTGGATCTCTTCAAGTCCTGAGGGACAGAAGTGATGAGCTTGGATGAAGCATGGACTAAAACCCAAGAAAGGTCATGAGGACCCACTGATGACAACTACAAGAGATGGCAGGCAGTGCTTATGTCTGCTTTGTAGGTCTGAAGCTCAGGAATCTAGATTCTTTTTAAAATTTTTTTTATTGTCCGTTGTGGGGCTTGAACTCAGGGCCTGGGCACTGTCCCTAAGCTGAGGTCTTCAGTTCAAGGCTAGTGTTCTACCACTTTGAGCCACAGCACCACTTCCAGTTTTCTGATGGTTAAGTGGAGATAAGAGTCACAGATTTTCCTGCCACAGTTGGCTTTGAATTGCGATCCTCAGATCTCAGTCTCCTGAGAAGCTAGGATTACAGGCGTGAGCCACTGGAACCCAGATTGGAATCTATATTCTTATCCATGGGATTCATTCTAGTATAGTCCAGAGGGACAGATAAACCTGCTTAAGGTGGAGGCAGCCAAAAATGCTCTTGTGATCTAGGCCTGATCCATCTATCTATCAGCTTCAACTACTTCCTCATCAGCCAACTGTCCAAACTGGGCTCTAAGGCAGGTTCAAATTGTTCCAGACTCAAGCACAGGAGTCAAGGGCTTTTGCTAGAAAGTCCTCAAGGGTGAGCCCAGGAGCTCACTCTGAGCCAGTGTTGCTGTACTTGGAAGCTGTGCTTGGACTGCTGTTGGAATAGTCTACACGCCATTTTGAATTTATAAAGCTCACGCCAATAAGGCTTTTTGCTGGGCTTCCCAAGCAACATGAAGACACACATATCATCATCATTACCACCACCACTTACCAAATCATCACCATCACTACTATCTCCCAAACTGCAACTATCCTATCCATCTGGAAGAGGTAGTAATTAGCTATCCACAGGAGTCAAGATAGCATTTTAAAATTTTAAGGATTTTACTAAAAAACATTTCTTTCCCAACCCCTTCTCTCAACACATACACATTGGCCCATGGAAGAGAGTAACAAGTCTAGGTTGATCTGAAATAAGCTACAGATGTTTGTTAACTCAGTTCAGTTCAAATCACATTCTTTTCTTCACTTAGCCTGTTTCCTTCTTCACACATGGGAATTGGCCCTTGGACTTAAGTGCCTTTAAAAATTGCTGGTCTATTTACTGGGAGTAATTTCCTGACAGTATGTAGCAATGCTATATCTATGGTTGTTCAAACAGACGAAAGAACTTAGAATAAAAGATCCAATGATTGCTGATTAAGTTGACCTAATTAAGAATTTGTCTAAAGCCCTGAAATCTATCCCTCAGGCTAGTGGTTTTTGAAGTATATTGCTTCCGTGAAAACATAAGCTTTAGTTTCTACTTTAAAAAGATATAATAAAGACATGCATGTTTAAGTGTGCCATTCACCAATATTTAACACATTGGAAAACACCTGGACCAAATTTTGAAATACACCACTGCTGTTTTTGTTTAATGTAATATTGTTTTGAGGTCACAAGGTGAGCTGTTGGAACTTTCTGGTTTTGCATATCTTTGTGTAATTTAAACCCTTTGTCAGTGCTGTATAACCAAAAAGCAAAAATAAAACTAGTTGTTAAGGCTGATATAGGACAACTATTAATATCTAATACCCAAGTTAAAAATTTTTTGTGTGCACCATTGTTCAATAATACTAACTTAATTTTTTTTTTTTTTTGGTCAGTTGTGGGGCTTGAACTCTGGGCCTGGGCACTGTTCCTGAGTTCTTCAGCTCAAAGCAAGTACTCTAACACTTGAGCCACAGAGCCACTTCTGGTTTTATGGTGGTTAATTGGAGATAAGAGTCTCACAGACTTTCCTGCCCGGGCTGGCTTTGAACTGTGATCCACAGATCTCAGCCTCCTTAGTAGCTAGGATTACAGGCATGAGCCACCAGCACCCGGCTCTAAAATGCTTTAATGTATATTATATATATATAGTATATTATATGATAAGGCTCCCCTTAAGATTTTAGTTAGTGATTGAGGATTCAGCTCAGTGGTACAGTGTTTCCATAGCATGCTTGAGGCCCTGGATTTGAACCCCAGCACTAAAGGAAAAAAATAATTCATTTTGCAAAGAGGTATCTGTATAAAATTAAAAATTTTGAAAACTTGCTTAAGATTACTTCAGTAGGTTCAGAATCCAGCTCTTTCATAGTAATCTACCACTACTATATTACAAAGTGACTGTATTGCAGTGTTAGTCCAGACATGCCTGTCCCGAGCATCATATCAAGCCACTCAGACTGCTGGAAACTGGAATTGTGAATGGGCTAGTACAAGGACTGGAAAGGTTAAGTTGACTTATCCCTGTGGCCTTGCCCTGAACACACTGCCCATCGGTTTCTGCGACTTGACTTCTCTAGTACCCTTCAGGGGCTTGACCTTTCTGTTGTGTAGCCTTCCCTTTGAAATAACCAAACATTGTTCAGTAAACTAACACTGCACCAACCTTTTCTTTCCCTTAGGCTAGCCAAAATACAGAGATTCATTGCTTTGTTAATGGGGAAATGGTAGTATCAAAAGTAACTTGTTGCCAGGCTCCAGTGTCTCATGGCTGTAATCCTAGCTATTCAGGAGGCTGAGATCTGAGGATCATGGTTCAAAGCCAGTCCTAGTAGGAAAGTCTGTGAGACTCTTATCTCCAATTAACCATCAGAAAACCAGAAGTGGCTCTGGCTCAAATGGTAGAGCACTCGCCTTGAGCTGAAGAGCTGAGGGACAGTGCCCAGGCCCAGAGTTCAAGCTCCATGACCGGAAAAAAAGTGACTGTTCAAGGCCACACTATGAAAAACTTTATGTACAAGTTTAAGGCTACACTCATTGTAAGAAATAATGATGAGTCAATATCCACAAATGTACAGCAAATCTTGTGTGTGAGAGAGGGCTAGGGGTGTGGCTCAGTGGCAGAATGTCTTCCTGGCTGCACAAAGCCATGGATTTAATCCCCAGTACTAGAAAAAAAAGAATAATGGTTGGAGATGAGGTGATGTACCCAGGGTCTCGTAACAGTGGAGCCATAACTCTGAATCAAATGTTTTAAGTTCTGGTCATCTAACCAGAGTTACAGAGGCCTAGCACTATGCTCTTAAGACCCGAGGTTTGAGGAAGCATTCTGAAAAAGAGAAAGGATTTTGGGATCTGAAGCTGAAGGGGAACTTGGACAGGTAAATACCTAACTAGGGATCGGTCTCAACAGCAGCAAGAACTGGATCAGAGGGAAGAGACCCTATATGTTAACAATGGTTTTAGCCTCTAACAAGAGCCAGTGGTTCACTAACCATAAGCTCTGTAGGGAAAGCATGTTGGATTTATTCACCAGTTTTATAGCACATAGTAGGTGTTCAATATGCATTTTCAGAATGAATGGATGAATGGATGATTCTCCCATGTAGTTATTTAGACCTAGCAGCTAAGTGGTTTTGTTACTAATGGTTGTCTTTGCTTTGCATCCCCAGCCTCACCCCAGGGAACCAAATGGTGCCTGCCTCATGAATAGTTGGGAAAACACAAGGAGCAGTTGCTGCAATATGTTCCCAATATTCTCATTACTGATGACATTTACTCAGCAGAAGCTGTGGTACAAGGAACAAAAGGTTCTTGCCCTGTGGGTTTATAGCCTAAATGACAGAAAACAAAACAAACAGCTGGCAGCTTTTCTGTGTGTGTGTGTGTGGGTGTGCTAAGGCACAGGGAAACAACACTATCTTGCATTCATAACAAGAACAGTAGGAATGATTATTTCTCGTTTTACAGACAAATAAACTAAAGCCCAGAGACATGAAGCCTTGCCCAGTGTACAGAATTGTGTAGATGGCCTAACCCAGAGCATCCATCTTTTCTTCATGTGCTCTGACCAAGTGGTAACACCATCCAGTCCAGGTCTGGCTAAGTACAGCTATTTGCCCCATTTCCCTCTAGCTAACTATGTGACTACTGAGGGAAAATGTAAAAGATTTGAAAGAGGCTGGAGGAGGTGGCTTTACCTGTGCTGCAACCTATGACCCACTGTACTCTTCCCCCCCAAAGGCCGCCATACATAGTGGTTTCCAGGGACTGAGGTAAGTGTTCCACATGTTCCTGTTTCATAGTCTCTAGAATTTCTGGCAATATCTTTGCACTCTTTATTATCTTCTAGGGTGGAATCATTGTAGTGGTTTCTTGGGGGAACAGCTCAGGCTGTAGGGGATGGGGTGCTGTTAAGTGCTATTATCTCAACTTTTCTGCCCAGGCAGGGGTACCTGCAGCTAAGAACAAGTAGAGGACGTTACCTGGAGCTCTTTTTCTAATGGTCTCCATGTGACCACTCACCTTGGCTGGCTTTTCCCCACCAAACCTGCTACCACACTCTGATGGCACTTCCCCAAAGCAGTGTCTATGGTGTCCCCCTTTCTTCCAGAGAAGACTGAGTGTGAACTTTCAGGGGATGGCATTTGGGGCAACAGGTCCCTGATTGTGAATTACTATCTTAGTCCATGCTTAGCTGCTTCTTTGTGTGGTGACTGCTGAGGAACGGAAGAAGAATCCCTGAACAGTCACTTCTTATTTGGGATTCCAAACTCTAAGCTATCAGTTAAACAACAACAACAAACACCCTCCAAACTACGCGTAATTCCTCCCAGGGTCTCAACACCTGTATGAACCTCTGGAAGAAAGGGAGGGGCAGGCCTGAGTGGCTTTTTTTTTTTTGGCCGGTTCTGGGGCTTGTGAACTCAGGGCCTGGGCGCTGTCGTTGAGCCTCTTTGGGCTGAAGGCAAGCACGGTACTACCTGAGCCACAGCTTTTTCTGTGATTCAGAGTCTCAAGGACTTTCCTGCCCGGGCTGGCTTTGAACCGCTATTCTCAGATCTCAAACTCCTGAGTAGCTAGGATTAGACTGTGAGCTGGTCACCAGCGCTCTGCCCCTGGGTGGCTCTTTTGTTTGTGCCTCTCAAGATTCTAGCCCAGACAATTGGCTATAGAAACCCCAAAACAAATCACAGACAGCTAGCTGCCCACTTTTATCCGCAAACCCCTCAAAGAGATTACGTTAGGAGTTCTAACTTTTCGTTATCATGGGTGGGGTGGAGCGGGGTGGGCTGGAGTGGCGGGAAGGGAACTGGGTGAAACACCAGAAGTTCCTCGATGGCTCCTTTCTGCCAGGTCTGCATTCTTCGGTGTGGGAGTCAGCTTTGGGAGATTCAGGGGCAGCAGCTCCCAGATCCCGAGAAGTGATGACCACGATCGCAGATTCGGGTAATCCAGCGGAGTCACCAGGTTTCCGCCCCGCCCAAGTGGGGCGCGTGCGCAGTTCCTTTTATTTCGCGGAACCCGGAGGGCTCCGCGGAGGCTTTTAAAAAACAGCCAGACACCTTGGAGCAGCCTACGAGCCCTGTATTCGGAATTTGATCGTAAGCCAGACTCCTTGAAGTCTCGCCTCCTGAAAGCTCCTAGCGAACCCCAGAAGACACCCCGTAACCCGTCTCTCTCCCGCCTCCCCAAAGCCGTGCGGGTGGAGAGAACCCGACCCGCCGAAGCAGCGACTCGACCGGACAGCTTAGAAGCTCCGCCCCTTCCCGCATGGAAGCCCCGCCCCGCCCCGCAGGAAGCCCCGCCCCGTCCAGGAGGGGCGCACTCAGCAGTAGTAGTTGAACACGCGGCAGGTGCAGATGCTGCCGAAGAAGCGGCATATGCAGGTGGCGCACGGGTTGCAGCAGGGGAGCGCCAGCGGCCTGCAGCTATCGCGGGTGGCCACGCAGGGCGGGGGCCGCTGGGGCCGAGGCCGGGGCCGCGCTTCCTTCTTCGGAGCCTTTTTCTGTGGGGGAAACACCTGGGCTGCTGGAGCCGGCCACGCCCGCCCCACCCATCCTCACCTCAGCCTGGCTTTCCTCTGGCTATGTAAGCCTGGGCCCATGCCCCTACCACTGGACTCAGCCCTTGGGAACCCCGGCGGGTGCCCGCCCGATCCCTAAAGAGCCCTCTTCTTACCCCCTCTGCCTCCATCTTCTTTCAGTCTTATCTGGCCCCGGCCTGGCCCTTTGCTCTTTCTTGGGGTCCCATGGTTTCTGTTTTTGTTTTGTGGGGCTTGAACTGGGCCTGGGCGCTGTCCCTGAGCTCTTCACTTCAAGGCAGGCGCTCTACTACTTGAGCCACAGCGCCGCTTCCGGTTTTCTGGTGGCCTGAGCAGGCTTTGAACCTCGATCCTCAGATTTCAGCCCTGAGTAGCTAGGATTACAGGCGTGAGCCACCAGCACCTGGTGGTCCCACGGTTTTAAACCTCCATTTCTATGCCTTCGCATTTGCATTGTCAATTCTGATTTTATGGTAGATCCCCAGTCCCACCACTTCACCTCCATGGCTGCTGCCCTGGGCCAGGTCACTGTCTTGTCTCTTTTAGTACGGGCTCTACAGGCCATCCTCTAGTGTGCCAAGGACCTCGTGGAAGACCTGTGGCTGTGTTCCTTGCTTATAACCTCCTGTGGTTTCTTCTTGGTCCCTGTCCACCTTTTCTCCTGTTGTAGAACCTTTGGGCATACTACTTTTTTTTTTGCCAGTCATGGGGCCTGAACTCTGGGCCTGGGCGCTGTCCCTCAGCTCTTCAGCTCAGGGCTAGTGCTCTACCACTTGAGCCACAGTGCCACTTCTGGCTTTTTCTGCTTATGTGGTGCTGAGGAGTCGAACCCAGGGCCTCATGCATGTAAGGCAAGCACTCTTCCACTGAGCCACCTTCCCAGCCCACAACTTTATTTTTTTAAACGTTACTGTCAGAAAATTTTAAATGATGTATATGGTCCACATTGTGTTTCTATTAGACATTGCTGCTGCAGGTTACAAAGTTTTTCTTTAAATGCCACTTGCTTAAGGAGGCTTTTTCTGAGTACTCTTTTATCCATTCTCTTTCATTACCAAGCCTTATTGTCTATCATCTTTATTTTTTGGGGGGGGGGTCCGGTTGTGGGGCCTGAACTCTGGGCCTGGGCACTGTCCTTCAGCTCTTCAGCTCAAGGCTAGCGCTCTACCACTTGAACCACAGCGCCACTTCCGGCTTTTTTCTCTTTGCTTATGTGGTGCTGAGGAATCGAACCCAGGGCCTCATGCATGCAAGGCAAGCACTCTACCACTGAGCCACCTTCCCAGCCCTATCATCTTTATTTTTATAATCTGTTTATTGATTTATTTGCTACTTAACAGTTTACTTCAAAAATGTAAACTCCATGAAAGCAGGGATATCTTTTTGTTCACTGCTCAATTCCTTAGTGTCTACCATTTGCCCATTATATATTCTCATCTGTGAATCATCTGGTTTGCCTCTTCACTTTAAGGTAGAAGGAGGAGCAGGACTTTCTCAAGATTACTCAGGTTGGATCCTAGCTAATATCTAATCTATTGCTTCCTTCTCTCATTGCAGTGGGTCTGCTAAGTGGAGGCATGTTAAGACAGTAATACTGTGCACATTTCTTACATTTCAATTCACTATTTCCCAAAGTGTAGAAACCTGAATTATGGTAGTCTGATTTAGGACCTTAAATATCCCTGAGGTTCTTTTCTCTTTCAAACTCTTTCCCAAAGTGTAGAAACCTGAATTATGGTGGTATGATTTAAGACCTTAAATAGCCCTGAGGTTCTTTTCTCTTTCAAACTTGAAAGGCTCAGTTTGGAGCTGACATATCCTTGATGCTCCTCCAACACTTTTCTCTCTGCCTTTTAACATAGAGCAGACCACAGATTTACAGCCCTTGGCAGGCAATGACATTCAGCTAGACTTCACTTATTTTTATAGTTTATATATATGTATATATATTAAATGATACTGGTTTTCTATGATAGTTTTATTTCTTTTTTTAAGGTTTGGCTTTAAATAGGTGAAACAGATATGGCAAAAGTTATAGAAGTGGTTCTGAAAGGACTGAGGTTTGTGATAACTAAATGTATCAGCAGATAGGCTGTTTTGCCCAATAAACTTTTTTGCACCCTAGACTTCTACGGGGGTGAAGGGTCTGACTCTGAATCAAGAAGCCTTTAAGTAGTTTTCAGTCCTGTAGGTTAATGTAGTAGGTCTGAGAAAAACTTTTAATTTAGTTTTCAGATCATCCTCTTTAAGTTTGATCCCACCCCTACAATGAGAATTCCCAGGCCTACCTTGGAAGACATCGTCCTCTCTTCTGCTTCATTTCTGCTGATCTCTTTGGATTTCTTGTTCAGTGCTTCAAAGAGAGACAGAAGAAGCAAAGACAGATGTTTCTGGGAGACCTTGAACTGCAATGAAGTGGGAGGAGCAAAGGGGGCTCTGGGAAGTCTCAGCAGGGAGGAAAGAAGGAGGAGTTGGCCTCATGAATCACATCATGGGACTCCAGCCAGCAGGTTCTTGTTAGCCTGGCTGCCAACATGGAGCCAGGGGCTGAGAGCAGTATTCTCTGAGGGAAGGCTAACAGGAAATCCAGCGAGTCCCTAGGATATACCTGTGGCATCCATTAAAGGGCTATTCCCTTGACCTTTTAGCCCTGGGTTACTCAGTCATTCCAAGTTGCCTCTTTAACCTGACAGGTGCAAAGACATTGTGATCTTCTGAAAATGGACTTAATGTCCTGTACCTGGATACTCCTGTGTGACTTAATTTCCAATTCTCAGCTTGGAGCCATGCAAGACTTAAATTTTGGATCTTGACTCTGCCAGGTGGACTTACTTAACTTGCTTGACCTCTATATTCAGTTTTTTTTTTAATTTGCAGAAAAAAGGTTCTGTAATACCTATCTTGCAGCAATAAAAAAAAAGCATGTTTGTTTATTTATTTACCTATTTTGTCGGTCGTGGGGCCTGAACTCTGGGCCTAGGTGCTGTCCCTCAACTATTTAGCTCAAGTCGAGCACTCTACCACTTGAGCCACAGCGCCATTTCTGGCCTTTTCTGCTTATGTGGTGCTGAGGAATCGAACCCAGGGCCTCATGCATGCAAGGCAAGCGCTCTACCACTGAGCCACTTTCCCAGCCCATAAAGCATGTTTATTAAGAGAGATCTGGCATATGAAAATGATCAATGATTATTAATGTTCCCCCTATGTCTGCCATAACTTCCTGATATGTCTAGAATGTCTTTTTTTCCAAGTTAAGAGTCAAGACAGTAAGAGACTACTAGGGTTTTTTGTTGTTGTTGTTTTTTGTTTTTGTTCTGGTTGGTCGCGAGGCCTGGACTCTGGGCGTAGGCACTGTCCCTTAGCTCTTCAGCTCAAGGCTGGTGTTCTACCATTTGAGCCACAGTGCCACTTCTGGCTTTTTCTGCTTATGTGGTAATGAGGAATCGAACCCAGGGCAAGGCAAGCACCATTCCCAGCCTGAGACCACTAAATTTGAGCTTAAGTGCCAAATTCACCTGGATGGCACTGCTAAATAAGAACTATATGCCAGTTATTAAACTTCCCTAAGCCTCGATTTGTTCAATTATGAAATATAAATAAAAGTAGGGCTTACTTCACAGAGCCCAGCACACAGCATATTTATTATTTATTATTATTTTGGTTATGGGGAGTGAATCCAGGGCCTGACATGTGTAAAGACACTCTCTACCACCAAGCTACCAACCTAGCCCATGTTTGTTATTATTATCAGGTGAAGTCAAACAGATTTCCCATGTCCTTTGTAGTCTTCCCTAGCATGGAAAGATTGGTTTAATCTTAGACTTCATTATATTCTGCATCATTTCCTAAAGTTCATTGTTGTTGATAGGAGTTCTATGATCCATTAAATTTCAGAAAACCTAAGTTAAATCAAGTTCAACAAGTGTCTTGACTTTAGGCTTTCTCACAGTCTCAAATGTGCTAATCTGCATATTAGGTTGATGGCTTGCAGATTTTCCCCAAAGCCAGTAAATTCAAGCGACACTTTCTTCCATAGGACTGTTTTACACAGTGAGCGAGAAGGAACCAGGACTATGGCAGTGGATCTTGGTAACAGTCTGAGGAACAGATCTGACATCTATAGCTCCCTCTCATGGACCAAAGTCCAGAAGCTAGGCCCAAGGCTAGGCCACTTACCCACAATAGAGACACCTGATGGGTTCTCGGAGTTGTTTTTCAGGTTCTTGTCATCCTCAGAATTCTCCTCAGGTGCCAGGTGGCTGTAGGCAGTGAGGAAGCATAGGAAGACCAGTAGGGTGGCCAGGAGCAGGCGGGTGATATCCATCCTGAGAGGCCTGAGTGGGACAGAGAAGGTGATCAGCGGTGAGTAAGCCAGAAGTAATGGCAACAGGATGGACGTTCCTGCTTTCTAGGTGTTCAGATCGTGTTCCACAGGTGACCCCTTTGAGCTAGAGAACCAGCAAGGCTTAAAATAGGGAAGGGGGACTGATGAAAAAAAAAGGAAGAAAAGGAGAGATGGGGAGAGAAAGACAAAGGAGGAAGAAGATTGAGGCAAAGAGAAAAATAATGCATTGTGTTGGTCTCTGCTGTCCAGAGGGCAGAGTAGTACTGTTTCTTCTTCTTTTTTTTTTTTTTTCTTTTTGCACCAGTCATGGGGCCTGAACTCTGGGCCCGAGCACTGTCCCTCAGCTCTTCAGCTCAAGGCTAGCGCTCTACCACTGGAGCCACAGCGCCACTTCTGCTTTTTCTGCTTATGTGGTGCTGAGGAATTGAACCCAGGGCCTCATGCATGAGAGGCAAGCACTCTACCACTGAGCCACCTTCCCAGCCGTACTGTTTCTTTTATGTTTATTTTGCCCCTTAAGACCCCAGGAGATGCTAGGTCTGGGCAGAGCAGTGCCTCTTAGTGGTGGATGTTTTTACTAAAGTGCAGAGAATAAGGCTAATGATACACAGTGAGAGCAATGCAGGGATAAGATAAGCGCAAATATCCTCTCATACACCAGATTCCTCACCCAGAGGGAACTAATGCAGGTGCAGCTTGTGTCAGGAAGATGGATCTTTTGACATGTGCTAATTGGATTGGCTGATTTACTAGTTGGAATGTGAAAGTGACAAATCTCACAGTGGATTTCTTCCTGTGGATTTGATTCAATCATGGTTCAGAAATTCAGCGGTATCTTTGCTTTCTCTTCCTGTGAGATTCCTACCCTTCTGCATGATACTTTTTGATTTTCTCTCTGGTCTTGAAAAAAAAATAATTGAACTGCTTTCCTAAGGTTTTCTCTACCCTCACCATAAATACTATAGGAGAGATGAGAAGAAAACACTTTGCTTATGTGGTTCTGCCCATGCCTGATCTCCATGTACAGAGGCCTGGCCAATTTCCAGTCCCCTGCCCAATCTTTACCTTGTTTAGAATCAAGTTTTCTGCATGTGTGTTTTATTGCAGGAGACTCAATCAGCCTCTACTCTCATTCCAAGCTACTTGAAGGTGGAGGGGCCAGTCCTGACTTTAGAAGTCCATTTTCTACTCTGATTAGCCCTAATGCCAGTTCTGATTCTTTACATCCTCTCATCATTGGGCACTTGCATTCCACCAACTCACAAGGTGAGTTGGTGGAATGTAAATTGGCCTAGGAGTCAGATTCTTATCTTGGTTCAGCATTAAGAAGATGCATGACTGGGCAACACTCTCTTTGTTGGGCTCCAATTTCTTCCTAGGTAAATGAGAAGAGTGAGTTAATCCAGCTCACTTTTTTTTTGTTGTTGTTGTTGCAGTACTAGGGTTTGAACTCAGGGAACTATTCTTGTGGGCAAGCGCCCTATCACTCGAGTCATGACCCTAGCTGTTTGTATCTTTGTTTTGTGTGAGGACAACTCATCTCCTTGTATCCTAAGGTTTATATTTGTTTTTTTTTTTATTTATTCCGGTCGTGGGACCTGAACTCTGGGCCTGGGCGCTGTCCCTCAGCTCTTCAGCTCAAGGCTAGCACTCTATCACTTGAGCCACAGTGCCACTTCCGGCTTTTTTCTTTTTGCTTATGTGGTGCTGAGGAATCGAACCCAGGGCTTTGAGCATGCAAGGCAAGTGCTCTACCACTGAGCCACTTTCCCAGCCCCTGTATCCTAAGGTTTAAAACAACTCCTAAACTCTAAAGTTTCTAGGCTTCTATCTCATTGCTCCTATCAATAATGCTTAATCTACACAAACCTGTATGAGAAAAGTGTGGGAACTGAGGCATAGTTTTTTTTGCTCTATCTTCTGTTCTTCAGATTTATGCTTTTTTATCAAAGCCCCTATCACATTGCTTATGTGTTTGTCTCTTCTAATTGATATAAAAATAAGAGGTCATATTTCTTTTTATTTTTTTGTGCCAGTCCCGGGGTTTGAACTCAGGGCCTGAGCACTGTCTCTGAGTTTCTTTTGTGCAAGGCTAGCACTCTACCACTTGAGCCACAGCAATTCTGGCTTTTTCTGTTTATGTGGTGGAAAGAAATTGAACCAGGACTTCATGCATGCAAGGCAAACACTCTGCCCCTAAGCCACATTCCCAGCCTCAGAGGTCATATTTCTTTCATTTGTTAGGCCTTGATTAGCACAGTAACCAGCCCAGAGCAGTAACAAATTCCACAAATGCTGACTGAATAAATTCAGCTCCTCATCTTTTCTGTTTAAGTATTTTCTGAAAACAAAAAGAAAACTCTATTATTTATATTTTTAGCCCTAGATCTGATCTCCCTTTTTGAACAAAATGTTGTTCTCAGATGTACATTTTGAGTAGGGAGCTTTGATTTCTCAAAGTAACATAATATCAAGTAACATAATGACAAGTAACATAATATCATCCCCAGTGTTACTTCAGACATGACATCTGACTAAAAGTGGTTTAACTAGAGGAAACCTAGACTTCTGGATGGTTTGGAGGAAATGCTTTTTCACTGGATACTTAATATAAAGCCAGCAGTTCTGATTAGACATGGCAGCCATTTCATAACTGGAGGCAGCATTAGTAAAAGGCAAAAGATTTATAGGATCTGAACAGAGACAGGATGATGGAGCTAGGTTAGATGAAGTTGACATGGTAAAAGGCAGAATGGACAAATGACAAAAAAGAACAGTGACCACACAGCACTGGATTAGCCACTTACCTCAAGTCCATTATTCTATATCCCAAATTATCAGATAAGTTAATAAATTTTCCTTTATTGTTTTAAACTAGTATGAATTGAATTTTCTTTTACTCTTAACCCAAGACCTTCTTTTTTTTATTGTTAACAAAGATGCAACTCTATTGAGGAAGTTCCTACTGTGACCAGTAAGGGCCACAGCACAGGATCGGGAGCTGATACTGCGACCCGGAGTGGCCCCCATTCTTTGGTTTTAAAAGGCAAAATCCATGAGGTTGAGCCTGATCACCCTCAGGTGACCAATGGGATCATAACACAAACAAAGGATTGTACAGTCATACCAGACCACACACAGGTGGCCAATAGGCAGAGTTTAACGTAAGCATGTGCAAAAGGCAGTGTTTATGGTAAGCAAGTGGTGTCGCCAGTTGGAGCCAGATTATAACCGATCTGTTTTATCAAGGGTGATTAACCCAAGACCTTCGAAAGGACACCTTTCCTTGTTAACTGCAATAGAGTTACAGGCAATTTAGATCTAAAGTCAGATATTAAGGGAAAAATTGCAGAGTCTCAGATCTTTTCCTCCTCTCCTGCTCCTTCCCCATCCCTTTTTCTCCCCTTTTATCTGCTTTTTTTCTCCTGCCCTTCCCCTTCTTCCTTCTCATCATTTCCAGTGACCTCTGTCCAGTGCCCATCTTCCCAGTAAAAAAAAAAACCAAAAACCCAACTTGGTCTCCATCTTTGACTCTGTTTCCTGATCTGAATATCTTCTTTTAGTTTTTTTTTTTTTTTTTTTGCTTCAAGTAATCTATTTCCCACCCCCTCTTGTTCATGCAGCCCATTTCTCACTGTCCATGGAACAAGTTTCACAATGACTCCATCTCCCTGCTTTTGCTCTTGCTTCACCAACATCATCTGTTCTCTCAACTGCCTTTGGTCACATCTTACCCTTCTTCAGGGTCCCATTCAAATGCTGACTTTAGTACATTTTTAGTACCAGATAAGCCCAAAGAGTGAGTGCTCTACAGAGTTTTCTGAACTCCTCCAACTTTTAAACTTAATACCATATTGTTTAGTACTTCATTGTTCCTGAATTGTTCAGGTGGGTTATTCTTACCTGTTAGACACAGTTCTTTGTATAAAGGAGGTAGAACAGTGCAGCTGAAAGAAATAGGCTCTGTGGTTAGATGTATGTGACTTCATTACTTACAAGTCACATGAGCTATAAGGACAAAAACACCCCTTTACTCCTCTTTGTTCTTCTATGGGCTCTTTGGATCAAATCTAGGGACCTGATTAATGTAAGAACCATTTAATAAGAGAAAAGCATAACAATTTTATTAAATTTTCATGTGCATAATGATCTTCTCAACAGAGTAAAGTCCAAAGAAATGCCCACATAATGATGTTTTTATATTCTTTACACAAAGAAATAGTAAATTTTGGAAGTAATGACAGGATAGATGACTAACTGAATTAGCAAGTCCATTCTAAGGAATGTTACTAAGAGATATATGAGTGAGGCATGTAGATTGGAGTGAAGGATAAAGGTTACTTCATGGTTGGCTTGTTTAGGTTCACTGGAGCCCTATACAGTCTGTGGTGACTAGGTTATTTTATGGTCTGTGAAGGATCTTCCTTCCCAAAGAATCTTTATGGCTTCATGTGCATAGAAAAAAAGAAATTTGGAAGTGGCGCTGTGGCTCAAGCGGTAGAGTGCTCGCCTTGAGCTGAAGAGTGCAGGGACAGTGCCCAAGCCCAGAGTTCAAGCCCTATGACCAACCAAAATAAATAAAGAAATAAAATAGAGAAATTTTACCCTTCACAAGGGCAAATGGCCCTTTACAGTTTGCCATGTGATGTCAACTAGAAATAATCAATGAGCAAATTTGTCTATTTTGAGATAATATGTCTTCACATCTTTCAAGAGCAAATAATTTAGCCACTTTGAGCTTTAGTTACTTCCTCTATGAATAGGGACAGCATAATATTCATTGTATAGGGTAGTCTGTGGGTTAAAACAGGTCTAAGACTCAGTGAAGTGTGTGATGTAAGTATGTTACTTATATTAATTATAATGTAACTATGATTTTTTTCTCTTAAACTTTTCTTTTGGTTGATCATGGGGCTTGAACTTTGGGCCTGGTGCTGTCCCTCAGCTCTTCAGCTCTAGGCTAGCGCTCTACCACTTGAGCCACAGCAC